TCTTCTTGGCTTCAATACTACAGTTTTAATCATTCCAAGAACTCCTTCACCTTTCCAGTGGTGTTGGGATTGTCTATAGGTGTTTCTGAAGACTATAATTTTGAGGTTTGCTGCTAAAAAGCCTTGAACAAAAATGGGAAGAAATCTAGATGCTACTGTGTTCACTAAACTCATGGCTGCAAAATTTGCTTTTTCATCTCCTTAGGGAAGAAACATTTTGTACCCTGGTCAGATGTTGCTAAGCATGGAGAGTTTTCAGTCTAGTGTGCATGACAAAACGGAAAGGGTGGTGAGTTTGCATTTAATGGAAATCAGAGCCCAAATCTGTATTTCATGGATATCCTAGTGCAGTGGTGGCGAACCTTTTAGAGACCGAGTGCCCAAATTGCAACCCATAACCCACTTATGTATCGTCGGGTGCCGAGTGAGCGTGCCCCATTAGGTGGGTGTGGCCCATTGGGTGGGCATGGCTGCAGTGGTCATGGCAGAATGGGTGGGACTAAAAAGTTCAATCAATCAATTCCAAGTTGGCGAGATCTTTTTTTTCCCCGCAAGAAGCTGAAATTGATTGATTGAACCTTTTTTTTTTTTTGTACATGGTGGCGGAGGCCTAAAGCGAAAAGGTTTTATAAAACCCAGCTGAAGGCCTAGGACTGGGGCGACGGCGCGCGTGCCCACAGAGAGGGCTCTGAGTGCCACCTGTGGCACGCGTGCCATAGGTTCGCCACCACGGTCCTAGTGGGTGGGTGTGGCCAGTTCTACATCATTTGCGTCAAGGGTGCCTGTGGGGGCCTGGGCAGGAGTGGGACAGATCTGAGGGTGTCTGGCAGAAAGGGGTGGGACCAGGGCAGAGCCCATCAACCCAGATATGTGAAGTAGGCGAGGGCCATTTGCTGGCCACTTCCAGGCGATGGTGCATTTCTTCATTCCTCATAAATGGTGACACCTCCCCAGCATGCACCCAGGGGGTGGGGCCGAGGCGGCAGGGGATGGTTCCTCGCTGTTTCCAGACCGCCTTGTGGGCCAGGGCCAAGGCAGCAGGGACCGTTCCGTTTCCAGGATGGCTTCGCGGATCACATGAAACCACTTCACGGGCCGCATCTGGACCCTGGGCCTTGTGTTTGACATGTCTGTACTAAGCGGTCCCTAGTTTAACCACGATTCACTGAATAGACTGCAGTGGCTGATTTCCATTAAATGGCTGCAGTTTATTCTTTTTTTTTTTTTTTTCAATATAAAATTTTATTGTTTTTATCATAAAAAAGAAAAAAGAAATACATCACAGGTATTACACAATATTATATCCCATCCCCCCACCCCCCGGACTTCCCAAACCAATCTAGGCTAATATTCAAATACAAGTAAACAAATATTAATATCTCTAACTCCAAAGTCTGAACTTAAACAATCCATCTCCTCCGTATTAATAAAAATTATTCATTTAGTTAGTTCTTCAAATATCCAAAATCTTTACCGTTTCAGCAAGATAGTTTAACACCATCCCTTACTTATACAAAAAAAAGAAAAGAAAAAAAATTCCCATCTTCCGTAAAATTAACAAGTTAATTCTGTCATTTCATAAAGCTACCCTATAAAAAATCATTTGGAACCCTTAATAAGGTTTACAACTTCAATTACTTAATTATCCTTCAATCGTTTTCAATTATAACAACATTATTGTATTTATAATAATCTTCCTTAATCTTCATTTAATTAATTCTTCAAATACCCAAAATCTTTATCATTTCAGCAAGG